AATTAATAATGTGAAATAGGAAGTAAAGGGCTAAAGGTGTAGGGAAAGTGGGAAGGGTGGGGGAAAGGTAATAAGGGAGAGGAAAAAAATATGAGAGAATGAAAAAATGGAAATAAAGTGTTTGTAAATGGGGAAGGGAGGAGGGGGTGAAGGGAGGGCAGGGACAAGGGGAAAAAATGAGTATCAATACCTATCATGTAAAGGTACGGACCCCAATAATGGATGTAACTGCATTGTATACCTAGATTGTACCAATAAACTCAATAAAAATTTTAAAAAGGTAGAAAAAGTGTAATGAAATTTCTATACTTGGCCTAAGTACACTTTAAACTTTTATAATGATATTTTTGTGATGATTAAATAATACAGTAACATGAAGACTACAAATGTGAGATTAATGAACTTTCAACTATCAATGATACAAATAATTATAAGTCATAAGAAGCACCTTTGATATTCCTAAGTTTGTACAGGAGTATTTTAATCATCGCAATACAATATCAATAAAATACTTGTCATGTAAAGGTACAAGATCCCAATAATGAATGTAACTGTACTGTATACCTAAAATGTATCAATAAACTCAATGAGGAAAAAAAATACTTGCTTTGCATGACACGCTGAATTTTCCTTGATTCGGTATTCTACACTGCCATGGTAATATAATTTACTGTTTTCCTGATCATAGACCTTCTTATGTGTAGAAGGCTGATCCTGTATTTCAATTCGCTTGTTTCTGCTTCTTGAAGGAAATTTAGGCAAATTGTTTTTTTTTTTCAGGCCACACTGTGATTTAATTGGAAAACGTACCAAACAGAAAACTAAGTAAAATAATACAGATGCAATTGAAATCATGCCAGCACAAGAAAAATGTACATAAAATAATGCAAATACCTCTACAAATAATGTAATTCCCCCTCATGAATAAGATGATTACCTACCTTATATGGTTGTTCTAAGCATTTTTTTTCTTTTAAATTGATTAAATACTGGTCCTGTATAATTTATGAATGGATTTACTAGTGGATTTTTTTTTCAAATCCAGATATGCAGGTCTCAGACCAAAACCAATGTAATGAGAATATATGCATTGTAAGTTCTTGTGCTACTTTTGCAGACCAGAATTGAGAACCACTGTCATAGAATATTTCCTGGAATTCAGAAAATGTTCCATTATTATTATCTAATGCTATAGTAAATAATAACCACTATCTAGTAACATACAAATTTTTAAAAATATGAACATTACAACTCATATTTTATAGAGATCTGAAAAAATGACCTACTAGTTGGCATTCTTTGCATCTTTACATGATTTTATTCCATTTTTTTCCCGTGGGTATTTACTACCATAAATTTGTCGACTATATGATTTTCCTGTAAAAGTTTTCAAAAACTTGACGAAAAGTGCCTAAAGCTCACTCAAGAAGTGTACAGCACAACTTCTGTTATAACTGAAATGGACTAGGTTCCATCAGCAACTGGTTGTAAATCTCCCTGAGAAGAACACAGATCTACTGCAAATGTTTCAATTGATTCAAAGCATTACCTTTGAGATTGACCTCATTTAACTTCTAAGTTTATTATAAAAGCCCTCTACAATGTTTTTTGTGCACCTCTCCATGTCGCTTAGTAAAAATCTGTGAAATATATTCACGGGGCTTCTGATTTTCAAAACTTCGTATATATCAAATTTCACAATTATTCAATGACATTTCTTCTGCAAAAAACATTATCCTACGTTATCACTTACACCCTTTCTCTCTGAAGTAATGCTGCAGGAATATCTCTGGAGTATGAGGCATAATGTTCCATTTATGAAAATAAACAAAGAATTTTATCATCATATGGGGAATTATATTTCCACTTGGCTATGGTGGAGAAGATTGCTCTTAGATGGGAGTCAGGAAATAAATATTTTAGTTCCATGTTACTCACCCTCTTTGAGAGGCACCAATGTATGATTGTATCCTCCTCTCTGTGCTAAGGCTACTTGAAGAGGAGGAAAAGAATCCCAGCCATCTCCACGGCAGTGCTCAATCACTGCAAGTTTTTGTTTTATAAATAAAGAATTGCAGCAGTACGCAAGCAGAAGGAAATGTGGTAACTGTATTCAAGTGGCACTGGAGCATGGAACGATGTGAAACTCTAAAATTTGCCCCAGATGGGCACAGCATGACCTGTGGGCTTTTCTTTGTGCCTGCTTTTTTGTTTGGTCATGAACATCTCTTCAGTGCTATGAATGACTCATATAATCACATTAATGAAGGACATACACAGGGGCTGTTTTATCTTGTCTCCACCTCTACGGGGCATTCATGAAATGAAGGAATGTGTAGATGGAATGCACCAAGTGTGTCCAAGTCATGTTGATCACTTACTGTGAACAGGAGGGGCTCCATTCAGTATCTGAAAGACTTGATGCCTCTTCTGTCCCGAACAAGGAAGAGACAGTGGAGAATCAGATACAAGGCATAATACATTATTTATCTCCAAATTTATGCATATAACTTTTATGCATATAATTTATGCATATAAATAACTGCATGCATGAAAAGGACGGGAAAGCAGAAAGAATACACTGCAGTGGTGGCAGGAGAGAAATATGGGCTGAATTAGCAAGTGTGTGCTTTTCTCTGATCTTTACCTGTGATCTTTATCTGTCCTGCTTATGCCACATGCAGCGGGTGCCCACACTGCTCTGTTTTATGAGTTAACAGGAATCCCCAAAAGGAAGAGCACAGGCATTTCTTCCTGGAGTGCCAGCAAAGTGAAATGGATCAGTTGTGTCATGAAGAGGACAATCTTCCAATGCTCTGTGTCTGTAATCAGTTCTACCCAACAACTTACGGAGGTTCTGGGTCATCCATTTCTATAGGCAATAGTAAAGTGACTTGTAAATATAGGGAAACAAAACACAAGAAATAAAACAAGTTATATACAATGCAGGATTTCCATACTGGCTCATGATCTTATGGTTACTGCCCTCCTCCTCTACGCCCTTACTGTCACAGTCATCATCCTTTTGGAGTGCTTAAAAACATTGCAAAGGGAAGGGGAAGTGGGTGAAGGGAGAGCACAGGTATGGGGAAAAATAAGAACCGAGACATATCATGTAAAGGCGCAAGATCCCAATGATAAATGGAACTCTACTGTTTGCTTTAAATGTACAAATAAACTCAATGGGGACAAAACATTGCAAAGGAACTCATTTCTGTTACGATGTGTAAGACACCAGTGGGAAAACAGAATTTATAGAAAGAAATTTTGAAATAATAATTTTGCCTTCCCCACTATCTCCAATAACACACATTTTCCATTTCTTACAATGGGCATTTTGATTTTTATTCTTGCCCATGATTCCCCAAACTGTCATGTTTGTATGTATGGAGCAGAGACAAGATTTCACACATCCTTCCCATATCTATGAGTTACCTCTGTACATACTAGGTGATGCTGTTTCTCTGCTAGATAATAATCAAGGAGAACAGATCCAAAGGCTCTCCTATGTCTGTTGTCCAACTAACGCTCAGGTTCTGTCCTCAAGATTAAAAGTAATACAAATTCAGATGGGAACTTTATGATTCAGACCACACAGAGATGGGCAAATAGCTATGGAGCTCACCAAACTAAGAAGTAGCACGAGAAAATTACTCACAGTATATGAAATTGGAGGCTCAATGCACAGCACTCATAATTAGCGAAATTGGCCCACACCATTCCAATCCCTAAGGACTTTCTACTCTAATGACCAAGGACACAATAAGTAGATGTAATGAGAACCAAGACCTGTCATGTAAAGGTACAAGATCCCAACAATGAATGTAACTGTACTGTATCCCTAAAATGTACCAATAAACTCAATTAAAGCTGAAAAAAATAAGTAAATGTAAATATTTACAAGAGGGTTTGGGTTCTTCCTCTACTCTGATAACGGTGTGTCCTAATTACGTGGTATTTGTATATAATGTCTAAATATCTATCTGTCTTAATTTTACTTTTGGAGAAAATACACCTAACAAAAGACATTGCACGCACTTCTGTGACTTTAATTTCATTCACATTGTCCTGAAACACTCGACATCGTACACCTTCAGGAACTTTTCATTTTCTAATCTGAAAATTAATACCCAACTTTAAATTTCTCTATTCATCCACACAGTGCTATGCTATGGAAAATGATAAGAAATCAGTCACAAAAGCACAAAACTAACATGACCAGAGAGGAAGAACTTAAAAGTCTAGATGTTATGCTGCTTTGCTTTTTCCAAACTATACGTAAATGATTGTCGCAGGCCCTGAGTCTAGAATTTTTGTCTGTAGAGTCCTCCTAGGGTACTTATACTGCCTCTATTCTTCAGGCGATAGACAAAGAGATTCAGAACAGGCATGACCATAGTGTACATCATTGCGGCTGGCACACTGTTTCTGAGAAATTTTAGTACAGCTGAGCCATCATGTACTCCAACACTTGTTCCACACAATAATGAAACAACTGACAGTTTGGACCCATGAGTAGAGAAGATGTTGCTCTTCCTACTTTCATCAGGATAATGTTCAGAGTGGGGAAACAATTCTGTATTCTGAGAAAATGATCCATTAGATTGAGGGTGGGGAAGAACGTGACATTAGAAATACAGTTTAGGTGCAGAGATCCTGTCCTTGCTCCGGCCTGCATCAAGAGGACTGGTAAGGACCGGTCAGCTGCCTGGTGGACCCGCCCTCCCCCCAGCCCTCATCCTCACCAAGGCCTGCATCCAGCTGAACATGGAGGACCAGGTCAGCCATGCAGAGATCCCATCCTTGCTCTGGCCTGCATCAAGCAGACCGGTGAGGACCAGTTAGCTGAGAGGGCGCCTCTGCAACAATTTTTTAAAAAAAGGGATGATTGCTTACTATTATAAAACTGTGTGGGTTTAATGAACCCAGCTCATAATGATCCAATTCTGACCAAGTTGTTTTAATAGTATCTAAGGAATCCATAACATGAAAGGAAGAAAATGAACAACAAATAATTAATTTCCGGGAAAGACTTTGGGTTCACTCTTTATTCAGGAGAACATTCGTGGACAGTATACATGGCTTGTGCTTCTTGTTTTCTTTCATTGAAAATTTGTCTGCTTTCTATCTCTATGTTTTATTGTGAGAAAATATAGCACAGTTTTCCATTTTAAGTACTGTGAGGTTCAGTTTAATGACACATTGCATTCACAAGATTAAGAAATTTTTATTATCATTCATCTCTAGAAATTCATCTTTCCCAATGAAAGTCACAAACTAACCAAGGAGGCACAATTTGCAAACCTGGGTATTAAAAAATAGTACATTTTCCAAATTATATAGCAATCCACACATCATCAGTTCAGGCAATTTTACTGTAAAGAGTCTTCAGGGTGTTTTTAATGTCTCTGTTTCTCAGGCTATAGATGAAGGGATTTAGCATAGGGGCTAGAACTGTGTACATCACTGAGGCCACTGTCGTATTTCTTGAAGAATGTAACACTGTTGACCCAAGATACGTTCCAAAGCCTGTTCCATAAAATAAGCAAACAACTGACAAGTGAGAACCACAGGTAGAGAAGGCTTTGTACCTCCCGCCAGATGATGGGACTCTCAGAATAGAGGAAACAATTTTATAGTAAGAGAAAAGGATCCCTGAGATGGGGAAAAATCCAAATATGGCACCAACAAAATATATGATAATGTTGCCGGTATAGACATCAGAACAGGAAAGACTAAGGACTTGAGAAGGATCGCAGAAGAAATTAGAAATTTCTACATCCTTAAATTTGGTAAACTGCAAGACAACCAAATTGTGCAGCTGGGATTCAAAAATGCTAACCAAAAAACACACTGAAACTAAGAAGATGCAGACATGAAGATTCATAATGGCTGGATAACGCAGCGGGTGGCAGATGGCCACAAAGCGGTCATAGGCCATCACAGTTAGGAGCATGTCATCCATGCATCCGAAAATGAGAAAAAAGGACATCTGTGTCAGGCAGCTCTCATAGGAGATGACTCTGCTGTGAGTGTGGATGTCCGCAATCATCTTTGGAGCAATAGTGGAGGTGAAACCGATGTCAGCCAAGGACAGGTTGCAGAGGAAGAAGTACATGGGGGTGTGGAGGCGGGAGTCAGAGCTGATGGCCAGGATGATGAGCAGGTTCCCGAGCACAGCGACCAGGTACATGGACAGGAACAGACCAAAAAGAAGGGGCTGCAGGTCCGGATCCTCTGAGAGACCAATGAGCTGGAATTCTGAGATTTGTGTTAGATTTTGTGCTTCTATACTGCTCAGACACCTTTAAAAATAGAAAAGATACTTGGAAAAATGAAGCATAAAAGGCACTATGAACACATTCTTAATTCAAGTATTCATACATAACGCACTTTCTTTCAGTATCATTTCACATTTGTAGCAAACTCAACTCTTGGACCTCTTCCAATATTGGTTTTAGTACTATTTGCATCCTTTTATGTATATCTACTTTAGAGACCCTCAACAAAGTCATAAAACCAAAAATATTAGACATATCAAGTTCGTGATTACAGGAACATAGACCAATACTCTTTAAAGGAAAAATTGGAGAAGAAAATATTTTACCCTTTGGAGAAATAAAATTTATTGTAGTTAAAGGAATTATGAATAAGTCTAATAAGGCTTAAAATACTATAAAATATGTGAAGTCTAAATTGAATTGCTAGTTCATGATTGGAACATATTCTTTTGTGTTAAATTTTCTTCCAGTGTTCTATCACTATTAGGTTTTCCAATTTGCTTCCTTCACTATGTAAGTACTCACTTGGTGTTGTTTATCTTTTCAAAATTATTCCATATCTTTGGGTTTGGTAGTCTTCAAACTTTGAGAAATATGTTTTGTAGCTACATATATCCATGACATCACATGAGAAAAGTGGCATCAGTGTAAATTGTATCTTTGAATTTTTTGGTAGGCATTTTAAATCTTTTATTAGTATATGTTTGTGACGTGTAGCAAGTACATTTAGTTCAGGGAATAGACACATATACATTATACATCTTGATCATTTTTAGTTTCTCTCCTCTCAGGCCTTCCCTCTGTCCCCACTTGCTTTGATCTCCTTACCATAAGTAGAATTTACAACCTTATTTCTTTTTCTTTTCTTTTCTTGGGGTGCGTTAGGGGGGATCAAACTCAGGACCCTGTACTTGCAGAGCAAGCTGGTCCCTCCTTGTTTCTTAACGTGGCTCTTTTACCTTGCTGCTTACATTATTTATTCTGTGGATCTCTATTATTAGAGAAACCATGAGATATTTCACCTTTTGTGACTGACTTTTTCATTTAGAATTATGATCTCAAGAGGTAACCATTTTATTATAATTGACTCAAATTTCTCTTTTTTATGGCTGAGTAGCTCCACATTATATACAACTAACATTTTTTTTAATTCATCCATCTGCAGATAATTTAAAATAAGGATATGTTAAACATTTTTAACTTTTCCTTTATTTTGCACACTTTTATTTGCATCAATCTCATAAATATATTGTAAAGAAAGTGAGTCTTTACTCTTTTTCTTGCTTTATTTATTTGCTTTTTAATGCAGTTTCCTATATTGGCCTGGAAACATCATTTTTCTGAAAATAACCCATCTTGTATATAGTGGGGGACATTAGTAAAGTTAAAGCCTCCAGTCCAGATGTGATTCTCAAACTTTTAGTAAAATCTTCATTGATTTTCACATCAGTCTTCCTAAATCAAGGATTGCAGTTTTTTTACTTCTGCCTTCTGAAGGCAACTTGGCTTCATTATTTGGTCAGGTTTCAATAGTACTGAATTATGATAAAAGGCAAAGGAAGGAAATACAGGAACTTTTGAGGGCACACATGAAAAGCAAATTACATGGAAAATATATACATACTAATTACCTGACTTACAGGCTTTAATTTTTTCAAGTATGAGATTGCTAAAATAGTGGTTCTTGATCTTATAGATCAAAACATGTACTGCGTATGCTTTAAGATATTCAGAAATATAAACATTCAATCAGAATGTGTGCATATGGAGTTCTTTGGGGTCTTTTCTTCAGTCAGAGTTGGGAACAACTGCCTTAAAATATATCCTGGCATTTGGAAATGGTGCAATAACATTATCTGTTTTTACTATCAATATACCTATCAGTTCAAAAAATAAAAACATTTAGTAATATTTGCTTTAGAGCATAAATTCCTGTGAAATTTCAGTTCTTGGTGTCTGTGCATGGTTCCATCCTCCCGGGCACTTGTCCCTCAAGACAACTACTGTCTGGGACTTGGTGGGTAGATTTTTAAAAATCAATGTTTCCATGATAACATTAATTTTTAAGTCTGTAGAATTTTTTAAACAACTTGGGCCCCAAAGTACCTATAACTTATTTAGGTAGTGCACAACTCAACATCTATTGCCATTGGAATGCATTACTTCACAGTTACCTGTGCTTTTAACTCTACACACATCCACCTCTAATGCCTTAGTTGATGCTTAGATTTACCAGAGAGAAGAACATCATTTAACTTGTAAATTCATTATTATAACACCTCTTTCAAAATTCTCGCACCGCTCCCAATTTCACACATGTAACATCTCTATATACCACGCAGTCGGAGGATAGTTGTTTCGTTTCCCGCAATTGCTGGATGGTCAGTATTAATATTAATCACCCATATTTATTGTCCAAATGAATAACAGTCCCCATTTTATATATCATCATTTTCTTAATATGTATCATCAAAAGTATGCCTGAAGTCTATCTAGTAATAATCCTTCCAAGATAACTAATGAAAAAATTTAGATGGCATTGGGAATACTATTTTCCTTTAAGTCCCATAAAGGAGACAACACCGCGGGTGGATGTAAAACACTGAATAGTTCTGCTGTAACAACAGCATTCTGGGATGCTGAGGCAGGAGGTCAAAAGGTTCAAGCCCAACCTGGATAACTTAACAACTCTGTCTCAAAATAAACAAGAAGGATATGGGCTGGAGATGTGGGTTAAATCACCAGTATAGAAAAGAAAGGAAAAGAAGGGAGGGAAGAAAGGAAGGAAAGATTAAAGATTCTACAGAGAAATCCAATTTCCAAATGGCACTGGAGCCTCAGAAAGATGTGAAAGTTTAAAACAGGGCTTGGATCAAACAATGAGATCTCCCTGTTCAATCTGTATCTCTTCTGCTTTCTTGTGCCCAGGAGAATATCGATCATGGTATTTGAACAATAGGATGAAAGTGAAGACAGGAAAGCACCAAGTGTGTTCAAGCCTCACTGACTATGGCCAGGATTTGTCAACAAAGGGTGAAACTATTCAATGCATAATTTGTTTTCCCAGTGGTTGGCACTAAATCAAGTGTATATTGAGCTACATTGTTGTTAGTTTGATTTTTTTTTTTGACAGGATCTGGCCAAATTACCCTAGCTGACTTTGAACTGTTGGTCCTCCTGCCACAGCCTCCCATGCAGCTGGGATTGCCTGAGTCTGTCACTGTGCCCAGCCATGATTTTATTTTTAGTGCTTCCTTGCATCGACACATTGTAGGTTATGAGGAATCAGAAATGAGAGGTAGCCATTCCTCTCCAAATGCACACACTGTACACACAGAAGGGTGATATTGAAATGGAACATTATGGAAATAGGGAAAATAACTTCAGATCACACGATAGTTTAGTTGAGTGGTGAAAAGCTTGATCTTTCCTTTGCTGATAATAACTGTCTAACTTGTATTTGCCTCCATTTTTTTGCATTCAGGATAATTAATCACAGAGTGGCCTTTATTTAACCTGTACTCAGTGCAGTCAATTCAGCTAGAAATCAACTCAGACTCTGATTTTCAGACACCAGCAACCTTCCCTGTGCTCAAGGAATAACAATGGAAACAAACTCCAGCTGAAATATCACCGTCAGCAGCTGGACAGGGTTCCCTAATCGATTTCAGGGTCAACTTCGTGGCGTTTTAATCAGCAGTCCAGAGGTTTTAGCTGAAGGTCCAGGCATATGTCAAGTACATTTTTAACCTTGGCCTGCCTTCCAGAGTGGGAAGGGAAATTTTGAGACCTGAGTTTCAGTCTCCTTTTGAGACTGAGTGAGCGGTTTTCTAATATTGCAGGCGGAGACAGACAGGTGCCAGGATATTCTCGAATGAGCAAAGAGGAATACGTGTTCTGAACTATCAGATGTCCACACTCTGTGAGCTTCGTGATCAGTGGCTGTAATTCCTAAATGGATGCAGCTGGTATCGCCCACTGCCTTCCCCCGTGACCTGATAGGAACCTCCAAAAGGTATGCCCGGTGATGAAGGGAGTACTTCCTGGAGTGAAATGGAGAGGAGCATGTTTGATTTCTCAAAGGAACTATCTGCCACCATCCTCGCACCTAGGTGCCTTGTGGTCTTATCAGACACCTGCATTCAGTGTTTTAAAATAAAATACCCGTGACAAATTATATCAAAATGCTGGGTTCTTTTCTTTTCTGTCGGGTAAAATAAAAGGCACTTCTAGCGCAGGGAAGACTATGCAGATGAATCCAAGCACTCTACATATAGTACACAGGACCCAGCACCTGAACCCCAGGAAGAACTCAGTAACCGCTCCTGATGTTGAGGAGACTGTATTCGCCCTACGCCTCCTCATCACCACCTTCATAATCGTTTTGAAAGGCTTTGGAAACAGTCTACAGGTCCATTATCAGCTAACATGGATATGATGTCTTTGGGAAATAGAATCAATGTGGGAAAAAGCACCATTTTGAGCATTTTAGGTCATTCATCATAAACACGTAAATATCACAGTCCTCACAGTTCAGATTTTGAACATGTGTAATCTGCTACGCGGCGACCCAGATTGCCTCATTGTCCTCATGGTGAGGAAACAGTGTTGGTCACATTCCTTCCTCCGCCCACCTCCCTCAGCACTTACCGATTTGGGCTGTTTCTCTGCTGTGACATGATAAAGAGAATGCAGATCCCGTATGGTGCCCAGTGAAGGCTAAGGACCTGTTCTTGGGATTGATAGGAACGCAGTCTTGGGTGGGACCTTCCTGAGGCAGAGAACCAAAGGAGCGGTGGCCTCAGGATTGGTGTCACCTGGACTGGAATCATCAAACCACAGGGGCTGCAGGGACAGCTTCCTGAAGGAAGGGGCCATGGATAGATTTCTTACGAGTATATATAGTCTTGTAGGATCAATGAACACACTTTGTAATTGCCCAATTTCAACCAAGTTGTCGTACTCTCTAAGGACTTCCTAACATTAACAGAAGTAGAAGAGAACATTAATTTTCATGAAAGGCTTCTGGGTTCTCCCATGGCACACTTGGGAGGATATTTGTGCCAGCTACACACTGGTTATGTTCCTTTCTTTTTTCACAGATATACCTGCTTTTTATTTCTATTTCTTTGTTTTAGTAAAGTAGACATAATAAAAGTTTTCCATTTTTACCATGCAGCTAAGTGCCATTAATTACATTCATATTGTTGTGAAGCTATCACTATCATTTATCACCAAAACTTCATCTTTCCAAACTGAAAAAGCACATTCATGCAAAAAAAAAAAAAACCCTCTGCATTTATCCTTCCCCCAGATGCGGGCAACTACTACGAAATATCATGGAAACATTAAAGCCGTTGCAATAGAAAAAATAATGAGACCAGAAAGGCAGGATTTATAAATCTACAGGGTAAAATTTACTGCTTTTTTCAAACTACTTAACAAATGCATTCCACGGGTCCTGAGATTAGACTGCAGAGCCTTCACTGGGTGTTTCTAGTGTCCCTGTTCCTCAAAGTGTAAATGACAAGATACAGCATAGAAGTGATCACAGTATTTATCATTCGGGCCTCCGGGCTATTTCTAGGATAATTTGAAACACTTGTGTCCACCTGCACTGAGAAACCTATTCTGTAAAATAGGCCAACAATGCTCAGGTGAGATCCACAGGCGGAGAAAGTTTGTACAGTGAACCCTCAAGTTACAACTGGCCTGACATATGAACAACTTGAGATTAGGTAAATGGAAGATTCATCTGCCTCTTGTTATCTATAGCATAAATCCAGGGAAACACTCCAATCTCAACTGTATTGAGTTTCAACCAATTTGAGTTACAACCAGCCATAGGGAACCAATTGAGTATGTAAGTCAAGGGTCCACAGTATTTCTCATTTTATGATTGGATTGTCATAAAAAAGGAAACAGTTTTTTGTTTTTGAGACAGGGTCTCACTATGTAGTGAGACTGACCTGGAACTCACTATGTAGCTCAGGCTGGTCTCAAACTCACAGCGATCCTCCTGCCTCAGCCTCCCGAGTGCTGGGATTATAGGCGTGCGCCACCACGCATGACAGAAGGAAACAATTTTATAGTAAAAGAAAAAGATCGTTGCAATAAAAAAGAAACGCCAAACCGGTCATAGGCTTCAGAGTCAGAAGCACACTGTCCAGAATCCAAGAAGGATTACGTGAGTGAGGCAGCCCACGTAGGAAATTTCTCTGCTGTGAGTCTGGATGCCCATAACTATCTTTGCGACCATGGTGGAGACTGAACAGATATCAGCTGAGGACAGGTTGGAGAGAAAGAAGTTCATGGGGCTGTGGAGGTGGGAGTCAGAGCTGACGGCCACAGTGATGAGGAGGTTCCTAAGCACTGTGACCGGGCACGCAGGAAGCGCGCCTAGAGGATTGGCTCCAGGTCTGAGTGTTTGAGGGTCCCAGCTGATGGAATTCCAAGAACTGCACTGGACGTTGTGCTTCTGTGTTGCTTTTGAGAGAGAAAATTAGATGGGAAAAATAAGTAGCTGTCTTAAAGAGAAACGTAGGGAGATAGAGCCACACGCCCTCTGCAGGCGTTCTTTAGTTTAGGTTTCATTTTGTAGGGCTTGAGTGGCATTTCCTAACCTAAGGAGAGGCTCATCGAGAACAAGGTCCTGTGAAAGGGTTAGAGTAACTCCGGCCCGTGAGAAGGGGTAAAGGGGAGAGGCCTGGGACGGAGAGTAATGCCACGAGCCACGCCAGAGAGGGAGTCAGAAAGATTCTGTAGAGGGAACATCCGTGAGCAAGGCCAGCCTACCTGGAAACTCAACAGACACAGCCCGCCATGGATCTGCAGGGTACTTTTTGGCCCTGGAAGGAGATATTCATATTCACAGCCCTCTAAAGAATGTCTTTGTTGTGTTCATACCGATAAACATGACTACCTAATAGAAACATTACTTAACTATTTAACGTGCAGATTGTTTTTACGACAATCCTTTCAAAATTCTTCTATTTTACAGAAGTCCAAGTGGTTACATAACATGCTGCAGAAGGCTTGTTGTTTGAGCTCTCACGGCTGATGCATGTGTAATATTACTATCAACCACCTATAATCATTTCCAAATAAAAAATCAGTGATTCTTATGTGCATTGCCTTTTCCTTACCATGTGGATCAAAAAATCATTGAGATCCATGTAGTAACAGATGTTCCGAGATAACTAATCAAGGCATTTTATATCGCATCGGTGCGAGCTCCTTTTGACTCAATTGAGAAATAATGCTTTGGTGGGGAAGACAGGAAATGAGCATTTCAGTCCTGTATTTTGGCCTCTTACAGTATACAAATGTGCGGGAATTTTTTGACCTCTCTGTGCTCCTACTGCCTAAAGGAAACAGAGAGTGTCATTCTCCTCACCAGACAATGAGAGGTGGTAATTTTGGAATCTAAAACATACTGCACTGTTCAATTGTTTTTAAATAAAGAATTCAGTTGTTCAGGAAATAATAATTCTCCTGATGGATAAAATTGTCAAATTGCTCTGGAATTTTATATTGACATGAAGGCGTAAGATTGTCTCACCCCAAATAATGTTTTGCTACTCTTCTTTGTACTTCTTTTGCTTCTTTTATACTTGTGGAAATCCACCCCCCATGGTCTTTGTTTTGTTTGATTTTTTTTTTTTGAGACAGGGTCTCACTATGTAGTTGAGACTGAACTGGAACTCACTATGTAGTCCAAACTGAACTCACTGCTGGTCTCGAACTCACAACGATCCTCCTGCCTCAGCCTCCTGAGTGCTGGGGTTATAGGAGTGCACCACCATGCCTGGCCCCCACGGCCTTTAGATGAATTAGAGCTATAATGATTTTGGTCACACTACGGTGCCCATGTGCCTAAGATCTAGAAACAAAAGCTATTTTATTCCTCTCTAGTCTATGAGACATTCCTGAAAAGGATACAATTTTATGTAGGAAAACACCAAGTTTTTGAAGTTGCAGTGTTGGCCAAGATTTGGGAATGAAGGAAGAAACTATGCAATATTTAACAGATTTTTTATTTTTGATGCCTTCTCTGGAAAAAAAACACACTATAAGCTCTGGGGCATCAGAAGGAAACCCACTGCTTCTCCAAATACACACCACCTACCTACATAAGGGCAAAACCATAATACAACATTACAGAAATAAGAAAACAGTAACTTCAGTTCATGTATATTTTAAGTGAATGCAGAGATTAGTCTTCTTGTTAATAATCAATATCTAGTTTATATTTGCCCCAAGTTTGCGCCTTTGTCACAGGTTAACCTCCTAGAGAGAAACTCTTGTCTGTTTAATTCATAGTCAATGCTGTTTGAACTAGAAGCCAATTAGATGACAAGGCCGAGTCCCAGAGATGCTAACAAACTGGCGCTAGGTTAAACAACTTGTAAATGGAGCTGACAGCAGTGAAAAATAAATCGACAGTCTCTACGTTAGATGCACTGCCTTGAAAGCACAAGGGCCCGGGTTTGATCCCCGATACAAAAAAAAAAAAAATCCCTAGGTTAGATGTGCTAATCTTCTTCATTGTTTTCCAACCATCAGAAATACTTAAATACAGGTGCAAAGGTTTTGACCTCAGGTACAGTTTTCAACTTCTTGCAGTGTCCTGAGTAGGAAGAAAGTCAAGACCTGCCTTTAAGTCTCCTTTGGCAATTGAGAGGGGTGGTTTTCATCCAGCATGGACAGCTAAAAAGATAGCGTGAGGCAGGAACATGTGGAGGTCTGTGCTGTTGTCGTGGGCTTTCTCTTTCTGAGTCCCATGATTCTGAACTCAGCCATTCCTCCTATGGTTGACAGACCAGGTTTCACACGAAGCTTTATCCAATAATGATCAATGAGGTTATGATTATTTCCATGCTTATCTTCATCCTCATAACCCCATTTTAATTACTTTGATTGGCATATTTAATGTATACAATATAATGACATTCACCATTGGAAATTTGTGCCTGTGCATAATCCATCTTGGTTCTTATTTTTCCCCATTCCCCTGCCCCCCCTGCAACCCCTCCTTTCCTACCCATCTACAAAGACTCTGTTTCCATTATTTTTCATTTCCTCATATTAATTCCATTCCCTTCTTTCCTTTCCTCTACCCTTCCCATTTCCCCCTCCCCCTTTACACCTGTTCTTCCTATTTCACATTACCTATTGTACCTTTTAGTCTTTATTTACACTTTCAGCTTCTCACACTAGAGAAACTATTCCATATTTGCACACGTGTGTCCTGTTTCTATCACTTAAGAGTTTCACCTCAATGTGCATCCATTTAGCTACAAATATCTCTAATTTCTCATTTTTATGGATGAGTAATATTCCATTTTGCAACATTTTTAAAGTACTTAGAAAATACTTTGGAGAAACCCATTTTCTTTTTTTTTCAGCTTTAATTGAGTTTATTGGTACATTTTAGGGATACAGTACAGTTACATTCATTGTTTGGATCTTGTACCTCTATATGACAGGTCTTGGTTCTCATTTTTTCCCCTTGTCCCTGCCCTCCCTTTACCCCCTACTCCCCTCCCCATCTACAAACACTTCATTTTTCTTTTCATTATCTCACAAATTTTTCTTTTCCCTTATTACCCTTCCCCTACCCGTCCCACCTTCCCTGCACCTTTAGCTCCTTTCTTCCCACTTCTAAATGTCAGTAATCTTATTAGGATCTTATGTATTATTGCAGATTATTCACACCAGAGAAACTATTCGGTATTTACACATGTGCGACTTATTTATTTCACTTAGGGGTATATCTTCAATATGTATCCATTTTCCTATGAATGAATCTATTTTCTCATTCTTTATGGCTGATTAATATTCCATTTTATAGAAAAACCACATCTTCTTTATTCAGTTTCCAACAGATGGGCTAATGGGCTGTTTCCAAGATTTAGCTATTACAAACTGTGCCGCTATAAACATGGGTGCACATACTTCTCTGTGATATGATTCTTTTAGTTCTTTTGAAAAGATACCCAGCAGAGGGATGGGTGGGTCAGATGGAACCTCCAGTTCAAGCTCTTTGAGAAGAAACCCATTTTCTATTGTCTGCATGGGATATCTTTCACTATTTAGTGCTTTGTTCTACTTCTCTGCAGGGCCATGATATGATAATTCAGTATTCCTTCTCTGCCTAATTCCCGATGCAAACCCATGCTCTGGACTCAGAACAGACTTGCATGCAGGCTCATACCACAACTTTTGGACCCAGATAACCATAGTAGCAAGAGACATGGGTATGGTGCTTACAGGACTGGTGCCATCAAAGAACTTCTGGAGGCACAGACTGGATATAAACTATCACATGATCTTGAAGAATCAATGTATAGAGCTCACAGTTAACTAAATTGGTCCATCACAAACTCTAAGGACTCTCTAATACTAAAGGGAAAAAAAACCTGTGCTAAATTTGGGGGTTCTTCCTAGAATCAGAATTAGTTTAGTTAAATATTCATTTCTTTTGTTTCTTCTCGAGATTTATCAGTTCTTTTTGCTTTTGTGGTATCCATTTCTATTATGGTAAAACATTCAATTAAATAATTGATGATATTCACTATTGTCAGTAGCAGACCTCAGTGGCATGCATTATAATTATACTCCTATTACCATATGACTGTACATCCACCACCACATTCCGCTTCCAGAAATTGTTCATCTTCACAAACTAAGACTTTGCACTTATTAAAAGTCCCAATATTTCGCATGCTCAAACACTGACTACCACTATTTCACTATGATAAATGTGTGGTGATTTTTTTTTTTTTGGTATCGGGAATCGAACTCATGACCTTGCATTTGTGAGGCAGGTGGCATGTAGTGTCAATTTTATTTATTTATTTGTTTGTTTGTTCATTTGTAGTGATAATTTTAAATCTTACAAAAACAATGTGATCACAGAAGCAGTAAGTACCTGTATAAATGTTTAATTTTGCTATCTTGTTTACTCTATATTTATACTGCATGCCTGAAGTCCTAAGATTAGAATTTTCTACTGTGGAGTCTACTTAAGGTACTTTTACTGTCCCTGTTCCTCAGACTGTAGATGAACGGATTTTGCAGTGGGGTGACCAAGGTGTAAATGACTGAGGCCTCTCAACAATTTGTGGGAGTCGAGATACAGCTGAACTGAAGTACACACCAGTCAGTTCTTGTTCCATAAAATATGAGAACAACTCACAGGTGAGACCCACAGGTGGAGAAGGCTTTAACTTTCCTCCTGGTGATGAGATTCTCAGAATGGAAGAAATAACTTTACAGTAAGATAAAAATATCCCTGCGATGAGAAAAAAGCCAAATAAAACACCAGCAACATATTTTCCAATGTTAGTGAAGAAGTTGTCAGAACAGCCAGGATCAGGGAGTTGAGCAGGGCTACAGAAGAAATTGGAAATGACCACATCCTTGAAGTAGGTAAATTGTAAGACAATCAAATTGTGGAGAAGATTGTCCAAGAGGCTGAACACAAAAGCACAACTAAGAAACCAAAACCATGACGAGCTACTGTAGGGGGTGATGATGGTCACAAACTGTCACAGGCCATCACAGTCAGAAGTTCATCATCCATACATATAAATACACTAGAAAGAGACATCTGTGTCAGGCAGCCTGGATGGAGATGACCTCGCTGTGGATTAGGATGTCCACAATCATCTTTGGGACAGTGGTGGGGTTAAACAGATGTCAAACAAAGACAGGTTGGAGAGGAAGAAGTACACATAGCCTGGATGGAGATGACCTCGCTGTGGATTAGGATGTCCACAATCATCTTTGGGACAGTGGTGAGGTTAAACAGATGTCAAACAAAGACAGGTTGGAGAGGAAGAAGTACACGGGGGTGTGGAGGTGGGAGTCAGAGCTGACGGCCAGGATGATGAGCAGGTTCCCGAGCACCGTGACCAGGTACATGGACAGGAACAGTCCAAAGAGGACCGGCTGCAGGTCTGGGTCCTCTGAGAAGCCCAAGAGATGAAATTTTGAGATCTGTGTTAGATTTAGGTACATGGACAGGAACAGTCCAAAGAGGACGGGCTGCAGGTCTGGGTCCTCTGAGAAGCCCAAGAGATGGAATTTTGAGATCTGTGTTAGATTTTCTGTTTCTATATTGCTTGAAAACCTTTGGAAGAAAAATCATTGGAAGAAAAGATGCATGTAAGCAAGTATACTATATTTTGTATGAATTTTAAATTCATATATTCAAACATAAATTATTTGTACTTGGAGTCCATACACCTTCAGCAATATTTCTCAAACAATGTACCATTTTAACCACTTTTAGGTGCATAACTTGGTAACATTGACTACCGTTTTTTGTGTATGCATTGTTCTTATCCATCTCCAAAAATTTTACCCTCCCAAAAGAATTTTGCACCTATGAAGAACCTTAATCCTAACCAGTAACCAGTCATGAATCTGTTGTTATGAGACATGATAAATTGCACACATCACACTTCTGTAATACAGCCAAGGAGTCAGTTTTTGCAGGTGAGTTTTGAATCTTCTGCATTATCACATTTTCCAAACTACATTCTAAATAGATACTACAGGTCCTGGGATTGGACTGTCCAACTGCAGAGCATCTTCAGGGAGTTAAGAATGTCCCTGTTCCTCAGGCTGTAGATGAAGGGATTCAGCATCGGGGTGACCACAGTGTACATCAGGGAGGCAACCTCACCTGTGCTGGGAGAATATGACACAGTTGAACCAAGATATGTTCCAAAACATGTTCCATAAAATAAGCAAACAACTGACAGGTGAGAACCACAGGTAGAAAAGGCTTTGTACCTCCCACCCAAAGAGGGGATTTTCATAACAGTGGAAATAATCTTATAGTAAGAGAAAACAGTCCCTGACATGGGAACAAGGCCAAATATAGTACCAAAAATATATAGGACTATGGTTATGATTATAGTATCAGAACATGAAAGGTTAAGGAGGTGAGAAGGGTCACAAAAGAAACTAGCAATTTTCACATCTTTGAAACAGGTAAATTGTAGAGCAATTAAGTTGTGCAGCTGGGACACCAGAAGGCCAACAAATACAGAGAGCAAAAGAAACAAGACACAGAGGCGAGGGTTCATAATGGTTGAGTAATGCAGGGGGTGGCAGATGGCCACAAAGCGGTCATAGGCCATCAGAGTCAGAAGCGTGTTGTCCATACATCCAAATAGGATGAAAACAGACATCTGTATCAGGCAGCCTACATACGAGATGACGCTGATGTGATTTAAGATGTCCACAATCAACTTTGGGATTGTAGAGGAGGTGAAACCGATGTCAGCGAAGGACAGGTTGGAGAGGAAGAAGTACATGGGGGTGTGGAGGTGGGAGCCAGAGCTGACGGCCATGATGATGAGCAGGTTCCCGAGCACCGTGACCAGGTACATGGACAGGAACAGTCCAAAGAGGACGGGCTGCAGGTCTGGGTCCTCTGAGAAGCCCAGGAGATGGAATTCCGAGACTGTTGTTAGATTATGTGCTCCCAAAGTGCTTGACCACCTTTTCAGAAAAAATTCATTGGAAAAGTAAAATTAAAAATAGCACACAAAACTGAGTATATATTAGATTCAAGTTTGCAGAGGCAAAGTAGTTTTGCATTAGGCCCCAAAACTTCAGCATCATTGCTGTACTGTGGTGAACTCCAGAGGCAAAGGCTCAGTGTTGGCTGGTTTGTTTCCCATCTCCCCTGTACGCTCCTACTTTACAGATATTCTACTGCACAGGGTAAGCAGATGAAGACATAAAGTTCAGAAGTTCTTGACCCTAGTAAAATACCACCAGCATTCTTTTTTATGGAAAATATATAGAGAATAGTTAAGAAATCCTCATTTTAGCAAATGTGATTCTTTAGAAAAAAATTTAAACTCAACTATTC